ACATTTCTGTGTTAGCCTCCACTTCCTCTTCTCTTCCCGTCTCAGAGTCACTTGGTGCTGCCAGCTCCTAAGTTTTTTGAAGATTCAGAGTGTAAAATGGGCTGGTTCTTAGTTTCCCTCTCTTGTCTGCCTGATTGTGTAAGGTCATTTACTGTCTACTTACCTGCTTTCCAGTATCTAGAATTTTGTTGTTATTGTCACTTCTTCTGTTTCCCATTGTTATTTTTTAAGGGCTTCTTATATATTTCATTTTTCTTAACTGTATTTACAAAAAAATACTTTTGTAGATGTTACAGTTGACAGGTACTTCTTCTATATCACATTATTTTATAGTTATTTTTTCTAACTGAAATTTGATTTTTGCTGAAGTATTAATATTTACTTAAAACTTCTTTCTAGAAACAGTACATTTGTAGTGTATTCTCTGAATCTTCCCATATCTAAAATTGTGTTTTTCTCCCATATGTGAGCGTTTTCCTGGGTATAGAATTAGTTCTTGAGTTAATTATTTTCCCTAGAATTCTAAAACTGTTATTTCATTGTCTTCTAGTATTTAGAATTGTGAGTATAATGTCTGATTAATATTGCTGTCTGCTTTAAGTTGGTGTTGGGAATATCTTTTTAGATAACTCCCTTTCCACCTTTTTTTTTGGGGGGGGGGTAAAATTTCATTTTTACCTTTTAAACTGAAACATTTTACTAGAATAAGTTTAGATACTGAGTTTTATTTTCTTATACACTAATAATCTTGCCTGTCATTTGGGGAGCCTTTGATTTTGGAAATTCAGGGCTTAAAAAAAAAAAAGAAAACAATAACTCAGTGTAATTTTTTCCTCTTGTTTTCAAAACCATTATTTCTCCCCCATCTACTTTGTTCTTTTTCCTGGCAGTACTTTTGTTGTTGTGTTGTTTTTTCCCCCTCAGTATCCTAGCTCAGGTCTTACTGAGATTGCCAATCATTACTTGATTTTTTTGGTAAAGCTTTCTCCTTTTTCCTGCAGTAACTTTAACAGTAATTATGTTTCTCATGCTGAATGAGAGAATGGGTGAGGTTTCTCTGAGTGTTTCAGTCATTTTCCCTTTTTTGAGCTGCTGCATCCAGTGATGTTTCTGCTGGCTATCTTTTTTGATTGCATTGGGAGCTGAAGTGTATTATTGGAGAATAAACCAAGATTTTCTTAGTGTTTTGGGTTAGACAGAATCGGGAAAGTTAACATAATTTTTTGTAACAGCTTAGAGATACTAACTGACTTACATGTAGGAAGAGCAGCTCTGTTAAACAGAACAAGATGGTCATGGGTTTAGGAAGATGTATTTTTATTCAGAAATGATGCTTCTTTACATCTCTCCTGACAGCTGGTGCTAGCAACTCTCAATTCCGTCTGGTCTGTGGACCCAACTCAGAGCTCTGGATTTGTTCTTGTCCCATACATGAGCTGGAGCCTTCTGTCACCCCAGAGTGCTTCATGCAATCTTCCTCTCAAGTCCTCACTTCTCTCCCAAGGTATGTATAGGAGAGGGAGTGGCTGGAATCAATACTTCCCTACTTAGAACATGATGGACACTCACTGCATATTGGTCGAATGAATATCCTTCATTCAACCAGAGAAGTGTGCTTCCTGTTTGAAAGTGATGCGTTAAAAGGGTTGCTATGTCTGCATTTGTTTTCACTCTTCTCTCTCTGGACCTTTACCTTCCAAACACCTTGTGGCAACTGTATGAAATATATTTTAGATTCTTGACATTTTATAGAACTTTTTAAATTATATTTTTTAGTTTATATTTCAGTGAACAGTTGGGAAAGGAAGACCATCAAATGGCTTGCGTTGCCATCTTGATGCAGCAAATACTCTGGGTTACTTTTTAAAGGGCCAGTCATACTTTAAACAAATAGTATTATTTTAAGGCTTGAGAAGATGTTGGTCAAGTCTTATGAGATAATAATACATATATAGAAGGTGGTAATTTAAATAAGGGATTTAAAATCAGTAATCTTTGTTGGTGAGATAGAGAGTGGTCTTTAGTAAAGAGTATTACCTAATAGGTTGAAAGATTAAAATTATAATAAAATTTCTTTCCTTTTTTAAAAATGGAACACATTTTTTCCCCATAGGTGGCAATCCTCATAAAATTTGGTACCAGGTGTCGTGTTTGATTGCTTTCACATAAAACAGGTTGAACACAGTTGAAGACAAAAGAGATTCTCCAAACTTAAAATTTGAGGGCAAATAAACCCCAAGATACATAAAATACAAATCTCTATTGGTGCCATATTATACATGCCATATATTAAATATAAAAAATAATCACATTCAACATTATTAGCAGTTATCAGACTTAAGTAAAAGCTAAATGGATTTCTTAATAAGGTGATTACTTTTTTCAGTGTTATTTTGTCTGTGAGGAAAGGACTCGCACTCTAATGGGTGAACTATGTGACATCTGTTTTGGCTGCCATGCAGCCTATATATTTTCTGCTTTAAAATTTTTCTATATTATTGCTGGCTGGTCAACTCTGAATAAGCCAAGTATTAACATAAATATATGCTCCACCTCTTCCTTTAGATTACAAGTTGCAGTTAAGGGTGGTGACTGTGTTTTTGGAATCAGTAGCACTCCATCAAAATGTATCACATTTATAGTAGATTTTTTTTTAGTATCAGTTGATTGAATTATTTAAATCATATACTTGTCAACCTTTGGGATATGTGTTTTCATGAGAAAAATTTTAAATTATATAGATATTTTGAAATGAAGTTGATGATATTTAGAAATTTTATCAAAATATGTATTTTTAGCATTACATATACATTTTTGGACATGTAACATATGCTGTAAGAAGCAATTTGCCATTTGTAATGAAACCTGTGGTATAGACTCCTCTTGATTATATATAGAAATAGAAAAGCCTGGGTATCGATAGTCCAGAATGACCACAATATGATATTCTGGCAAATGTGGAAGAATCATTAGTCAGTGTGCTTAAGAAGTTTCACATATTTGAGCCCCATGCTCAGAGTCTGGTGCAGTGAAAACACCATAGTTGATTATGATGCTTGTCACTTTGAGAATGTGGCACTCTGTAGAGAATTTTGTTAGTTGTTGTGAAGTATCCCCCAGGTTATCACTGAACTTTTTTCTAATCCTTTATTATTTTTCTCACTTTTGAAGAAAAAGTTTTACATTTAGTTTTAAATAATACAGTAAAAATTTTCACATTTTTTACTGTGTTAGGAATAGTATGTAAAAAAAAAATTCCAGTAAACTCAAACGCTTCTAATGAATTCATTTTCAGGTTGGCGCACACACACACACATATATATATGTATATATATATTTGAAAAATACTGAAGGTGTTTTTTTAGACACAACCAAATTTTTAAGTTTGAGAAATATTCAAAGGGCTTCTTAATAGTAATGTAATGTAACTTTTAATTACATTCCCTCAGTGAACAATTTTTAAAACAGTGAAGTTCCTAGTTACTCAGATTAATTGGAATTTAGAGGTGAGACCTTTGGATAGACATCATGGATAAAGTTTACTGTGATTTATACTTTATTTTTTTGGCTTATCTAATTGTTAGTCATATACATATTTAAGAACATGAAAGTAAGAAAATATAATTCTTGTAATACACCATTTGATATTTTTGCTACTGAACCTTTGGTGCTCAGATTCCATTCTCAGCAATATATTGTTGTATCTATTTGTTTATTGTTTGACTGCACCATGCAACATATGGGATCCTAGTTCCCTGACAAGGGATTGAACCCACACCCTCTACATCAGAAGCTTGGAGTTTTAACCACTGAACTGCCAGGGAAGTGCCTGTCACGTCTTTTAATTTTACAGTTTTTGGCCTCTGCACCTTGTCATAATGTCTTACACATTGTAAGTACATGCAGTAATGGTGGTAGCTGCAGTTTATGTCGTACCTTACAGGATGCTGTTACAGAGTTAGGGGTAATTTTCTTTCTTCTTTTTTTTTTTTTTCATTTTATTGATGAAGAAACTAAAACACAGAGATTGAGATTTGCTTAGAGTAACGCAAACCAGTAATTTTTTAAATGAATGGAGGCAGATGGTAATGAGTACATTCTAAAATGCCAAGGACTTTCCTTGCTGCCATCTGCCTTAGTTGTAGGGATGAAAAAAGAAAAAGCCAAAATGGTAGGGAACCAGAAAAGTAGTAGTGGATTTAGGAGTACCCCAGGGAAATGTGCTCCTCCTTTTAATTTCTTCTTTTTTTGACCAGTTAGTCATGATAACTTGAGAGAGTAGATAATGTCTTTTTGTTATTGTTGTTGTTAGATGAATGAAACTTTTATTTTAAACATAAATTATCCCTGGGGCACTAGGGAAGTAGAAAATCTACAGAGAAGTCTGTTGAAATTCTCACAAGGTAATAGCTATAGGGTCAACTAAATAACAGAAAGTTAATGGTATATGTGTATAATTGGAACATGTGTGTAAGTCGAATTTAAGCTTATAGGGCTGTCTTATTGAGATTTTAAAAATCTTGTTTAAAAACTATAGTGTCAAGTTAATATAAAATCTTAGAACCTAAAGGTGTTTATCCATTTGTGGTTTTCTTTAGATGAGAAGACTGAGCTGCAGAGAAGTCAAACCTTGCCCAGTGTCACAGAGCAGAGCCGAAAGTAAGGCTTGTATTTCCTGAGGTCCAGATTAGTGTTATTTCTACTTCAGACTATTACTTCTTGGTAAGCTACTCTTAAATTACTTAACAGATCTTTTATATCTTTTATTTGTTTGATCAGCATTCTTGCTTTGTGTCAAAATGAACTTTAAAATGAATTTTACTGATACTTCTGTGATGAAAATTTCAGTTCTTTGTTTAATTTTAGGTGAGTTAATGTGGGGAAAATCCTGGTATTCTGAAGATGTTGCAGCACAGTATTGTTTCCTGTTCAAATTACAAGTAACTTCAAGAATTTTCAGGAAAAAAAGAATTGGGATTGTTTTGTTTTATTTTTAAATCATGCCATCTGAACAGAAGCATTTATTTTTTGATGAAAAACAAAATACTTTAAAAAAAGATTATGATGTGAAAAATGAGGTAGTTGATACTCTCAGATCAAAAATTTCAGAACCAAAATTTCAGAACCAACTTAAACCAGACATTTCAGAAAGTAGTTTTCATTATGGACTAAAAAATGTGAAAATTGTTTTGCCGAAGATAAATATTCCAAATGAAGTCCTATTGAAACATGAAGTTGACAGATACAGAAAATTATTTCAGCATAAGCCACAGACTGCAAGAAAATCTATCAATGTAAAGACTGTAAGCTCCATAGAAGAGTGTATGTTGCTTAATCAGTCTGAGAGAGTTGACGAAGGTATAAAAATGTCTGCAAAAATACTCAATTTCAATTGTTTAAAGTGCCGAGATAGCACTCGGTATAGCCCAAATGATTTGCAGAAACACTTTCAAATGTGGCACCATGGTGAATTACCTTCCTATCCTTGTGAGATGTGCAGTTTTTCAGCAAATGACTTCCAGGTATTTAAACAACACAGACGAACTCATAGAATCACTTTAGTAAAATGTGACATTTGTAACAATGAGAATTTGTATACTTTATTAGACTTAACAAAGCATTTTTCATCCACACATTGTGTAAATGGTACTTTTCAGTGTGAAAAGTGTGAATTCTCCACCCAGGATGTTGGCACATTTGTTCAGCATATCCATAGACACAACGAAATCCTTTATAAATGTGGTAAATGCCATTACATATGTTTAACCAAAGGAGAGCTTCAGAAGCACCTTTATATTCATTCTGGTACATTTCCCTTCACTTGTCAATATTGTAGCTATGGTGCTACCAGGAGAGAGCACCTTGTAAGACATGTTATAACTTTGCACAAAGAACATTTATATGCGAAAGAAAAACTGGAAAAGGACAAATATGAAAAAAGGATGGCGAAGTCTTCGGCAGGACTTAAACTAATACTGAAAAGATACAAAATAGGTGCATCAAGGAAGACATTCTGGAAACGTAAGAAAATCAACAATGCAAGTGACAAAAGTATAGAAAAAAATACTCAAGTGCTTAAAAAAGTGAACAGAACACAGGCTGCATCTGAAGACCCAAGCCATCTTGTTCAGGAACATTTAAATGAAGAAAAGCTTGAAAGACTATACTGTGAGAATAATGATAAACCTGCTGAGTCAGAGTCGGAAAAACCAACTCTTCTGTCTACTGGACAATGTAACGGAGCTCAAGAGGGATCAAATTCTACTTCAGGTTTCTTAAACACTGCTGTACAAGGACCTACAGTGTTAATGGTAAAAAACAACAGAATAACAATTCCTGCTAACTACAGTGCTAAGTTTATGGGCTTCAAGATGGTGGATGGAAAACAGCATATTGTAATAAAACTGTTGCCTACCAATAAACAGAATTTATATTTACCAGGCTCACAGTCAGGTGCTGCAAGGGACAGTACTGCAGTTTTGCAGCCCCAGACTTTGGACACCACTGCATTTTTAACAGGAGTGCCAGCTGAGTTAAATGACACAGTTTACATGAAAGCAGCTCCTCCATTTTCATCTTCATCACCTGTACTTTCAGGGAAAGTAATTTCAGAAAAAGAAACGGCTTTGCTATCTCAGACAAGTAATGTTATTTCTGCAGTGGATGATGAAAAAGGTGTATCTCCTTCGCCAGTAGAGTCAGACTTGATTACAGCATCAGTGAATTTGACCACAAAAGTAGAAACAAGAGATAATGTTGACTTATGGGGCAGTCATATTACTCAGTGTCACCCTGAGGTGTTAGCTACTAGAGTTAAAAGTCCAGATAAAGTCAGCTGTACTGCCAAACCAAATTCATACAACAGTGGAGATATGCATAATTATTGCATTAATTATGTGAACTCTGAGTTACCTATTGAACCTTCCAATCAAGGATCATTACCTTTTCATAATTACTCAAAAGTGAATAATTCTAATAAACGTCGTAGGTTTTCAGGAACAACAATGTGTGAAAACCCTCAAAGAGAATCTTCATCCAGCAAGACAGTTTTAAATGAGTCAGTCTTATCACTAGTGAGGAAGGAGAGCTCAAACCCAGATAGCCTGTTAGCATCTGTTAGTCTTTTAAATAGTAAAGATGGAACTTTAAAAACACAAGCTGAAATCGAAGAACAGTGTGTTTTAGAAAAAGGACAGAACATTGATGGACAAAACCTATACACTAATGAAAATCAAAGTTTAGAGAGCATGACTGAAAAGCCTAAATGGGATGGCATTTCTAATGTTGAGTCACCTATGATGCCTAGGATCACATCTGTCTTCTCACTCCAGAGCCAGCAGGCATCAGAACTTTTGCCACCTGAACTAAACCAGTTACTTCTAGATGTATTAAAAGCAAAACCTGATGTAAAACAAGACTCTAGTAACAGTCCAGATAAAGATGTTCCACTTCAATGTGCCCAGTCTTTTCAGGAACATGGGGGAGAAAACAAAATAGTTGAATCTTCAAAAGACTTGAAAGCACAAGGCCTTTTTCCAATTCCGTCTGGTAGTATGGGGACTAATATGCCTACAAATGATCTGAATTTAAACTGTAGCGGAAAAGAAAAGCAAATGCTGTCACAGGATGTGAGAGATTCAGAGAAGACCCCTAGAAGTTCTGGTTTTGGCACATTGCCTAAGACTCAGTCAGATGCAATAATTACACAGCAGCTCGTAAAAGACAAACTACGAGCCACAACACATTCTTTATATGTGCAGAATCCACTAAATTCAGAACCAAAAACGGCTATAGTTGTTCAGACTCCAAAAGGCTTTTTTGTACCCTTGCACTTCACTAACAAGCCTGGATTACATGTTTCAAGAAGACCGCTTCCATTGGTTAATACACAAAGTATCCCTGCCCCTCTCCTTTTAAACAAGAAACCGGGGATGATTTTAACATTTAATAATGGGAAACTTGAAGGTGTTTCTGCTGTCAAAACTGAGAGTGCTCAAGCTTGTGGAACTACAACTAAGGCACCTTGCAGAGCACCTTTTTTAAAAGTAGAACAAAACAGTAATTGTCTGACCCCTGCACTTTGTTCCAGCATTGGCAGCTGTTTGAGCATGAAAAGTAGCTCAGAAAATACTTTGTCATTAAAAGGCCCTTGCATTATTAAAACGCCAGCAAATTCTTCAGTGAAAGCTATTCCTACTCATAATATAATACCTGAGCATCAGGGCACCAAGTTGAATATCTCTGATTCAGTAAAACCACAGAACAAGATTTTTCCAAAACCACCTCTTTATACCTTTTTACCTGATGGCAAACAAGCTGTTTTTTTAAAGTGTGTGATGCCAAATAAGACTGAGCTGCTTAAACCTAAATTAGTCCAAAATAGTACTTGCTATAAAAATATACAGCCAAAGAAACCTGAAGGAACACCACAAAAAATATTGCTGAAAATTTTTAACCCTGTTTTAAATGTGACTGCTGCTAGTAATCTGTCAGTAAGCAACACTGCATCCTCACTGCAGAAAGACAGTGTACCATCTAACCAGACTACAGGACAGCAGAAAGAGCCAGAATCTTCTAGAGATGCCTTACCCTTCTTAATAGATGATATGATGCCAGCAAATGAAATTGTGATAACTTCTACTGCAACATGCCCAGAATCTTCTGAGGAGCCAAAATGTATCACCGACCATTCAGAGGCCAGGGTATTAAGGTGTAAAACAAATTGTACAATTGAGAGAAACTTCAATAAGAAAAAGACTTCGAAAAGAAAAATTTCAAGAATAAAAAGTCATGTAAGAAGTCAAGATTCTGAAACTGCTTTTGTATCTAGAAACAGAAACTGTAAACGCAAGTGTAGAGATAGTTACCAAGAACCTCCAAGAAAAAAAGCATTACACAGAAAGTGTAAAGAAAAGGCGAAGGCTGAAAGTATCCCTGAATCATTTGAATTCAACCGACCTAGGCTTTCAAAAGATACAGTCAGAACTCTGCGGCTTTTCCCCTTTAGTTCCAAACAGCTTGTGAAATGTCCTAGGAGAAACCAACCAGTTGTAGTTTTGAATCATCCTGATGCAGATTCCCCAGAAGTAGTAAATGTAATGAAAACTATTGCTAAATTTAATGGACGTGTTCTTAAGGTTTCATTGTCGAAAAGAACTATCGATGCTTTACTGAAACCAGTTTGTTGTAACCCTTCTTTAACAACTTACAATGATTTTCCTAAGAGGCACAAAACATTTAAACCTGTTAGTTCTGTGAAGGAAAGATTTGTGCTAAAGTTAACTCTCAAAAAGACAAGCAAAAACAATTATCAGATTGTGAAAACTACCTCTGAAAATATTCTGAAGGCTAAATTTAACTGTTGGTTTTGTGGTAGAGTATTTGACAATCAGGATGCTTGGGCTGGTCATGGACAGAGGCATTTAATGGAAGCTACTCGTGATTGGAACATGTTAGAATAATTACCAAGGAAAAGTAAAATTACCTTAGAAGAAAATATTGAGTTGGGTTACTCCATGCAGACATTTTTTACTTCAACACAGCACCAAAATTAAACATTTAAAAGTTAGCTGTATTTTATGGATGAGCAAGTTTCACTGTTGCATTTGAAAATGCACATTAGTTGCATCAGTGCACATTAGTTTTGAAAGAAACTAATCACAGATTTACCTTGATTTAATTTTTTAAAATGTGTGTTTTTGGGAATTTAGGGCTAAAGGAAACTTTGATGAAACAGTTTTCCCAGTTTAGTGACTCCTAGTCAAGAGAGTAGCAGCTGACAGCCCCATTCCCTCTCTTCTACTAGCCTTATGAATCTTGATCACTATAGCTCCTCTGAAAAGGTTGAGAGCTCTTTCACTATGCAACTGAAGGAGTTTCTCGTCATTCATGAAAATACTCATGAAGAGAGCTTAGGTAAAGAACTTACTCTCCATCTGCAAGATGTAGTTCTTTTGAAGGTAACTAGGCTCCGTTGAGAGTACGTTTAACTCACTACAGTTACACCTCATATGATGCTTGGTAAAAGTTTTTGATGAGTAGGTCTTTTTTCCTTGTAGCTGTCTTGCACGTCATTGAGTGGAACACCTTTCCAAGGAGATTTTCTTTTTCTAAATGGCTCTCGTGTTGCAGTAGATGGGCAGTCTTGAGAGAAGAATTAACCTCTCTTCATCTGGTTTGAAGTTCATTTAAAGAACTTGAATATTTTTCTGAATTTGATTGTACTCACCCTTGCATTCCTTTGATTTAAGTTGTTTGTCCCATCATAAACCGAGTGGCCAATTTTTTTCTTGGTTGCCGTCCCTTTAAAAAGAGTGAAATGTAGAAGCACTTCCAAGGGAATGCCTTTTCTCAAAAATTAAAAATTACTCCTCAGAAACAATATTCTGAAGCAAGATTAACAAAGTAAATCATATTTTTGTGTTTATTATTAGTGTCTGAATATGTCCACATTGGGACAAACCATTTTTTGTTAGCAGCATTTCAGTATGACTCACAACCCAAAGCAGATTATGTTCTGGTTGTTTGCAGTTGGAAATGAAGAAGCATTAATAGTTGACTCAGTGACAATGCATAAAACTTCAGGACAGATACTGAAGGGACATGCCCAACAGGTAGAATTTTAAAAAGGAATGTTTTCATGACAACAGAATCATTGATTTAAACTTCTCACTTTGTAAGTTGGGGTCAATTTTTGTTGGATCATTGGATAATGGGGTTCTTGTATTAAAAAGTTATATAATTTTTGTTACATTGTTACTACAAGTGTTATGATGTTTTTCATTGACTGAATGAAAACTTCAGGGCTTCTCTTCTGTATATAACAGAGAATTTAAACCTGTACATATTTTTGTACCTTTCAGTTATGTAAATTTTGCACAGAAAGTTTTTGAGATAAAAAGTTTATTTTCTTTCAATTTATTTCTGTGCATGCACTAATAAAACTCATTGTTTAATTTAAAAGGAGTATATAAGACTTTACCCATGTTATTTTGGGGGGTTTTATTTCAGATGTATAATTTTTTTTTATATAAATTCAGTTTTCAGGGATTGAACACTATCGTTAGCAAGTGCCTAAAAGATGTGAAGCAGTTTACATACGTCAACTGTAAAATTAGGTCCCAAATGGACCTTTTCCCCCAATAGTTTTATTTTAAAGAAAGCCATACATAGATGCTTCAAGCTATCTTGCTATGCACATTATACATGTACTGTTTTTGTGCAGTTTGTCTACTTTCTTAGAAGTGAAGTATTTTTTGTATAAAACCTGTTACAATTGTGTTTCTTAAATTGAGCCTAAGAATGGAGTTGATTGGAAATATACAATATATATTAATAACGTGTATGGTGTTTAAAGACTGGTAAACGTTGTTAATTTCTGTAACGTTTTCTTCCATTAAATTTATCTTAAGTTTGTGTTTACATATTTTTCTTTTACTGTGCTGAATTCAAATGGGAATTTTATTCTAGTGGGAAATATTTAGTTTTCAAACTTTTTTTTTTCAGTGTTAGTGAATGCAAAATAAAATGTGGGATTCCCCCCTCCCCCAAAGTTATAGGTGAAATTTTGTCTGAGAAGGGTAGTACGTATTACAATTTAACTATGCTGGTAAAAAAAAAAGCCACAGAGAGAGTCCCTGGCTGTCCAGTGGTTAAGACTTCGCCTTCCAATGCAGGGGGTAGGGGCTTGATCCCTGGTAGGGGAGCTAAAATCCTACATGCCTTGGGGCCAGAAGACCAAAATAAGCAATATTGTAACAAATTCAGTAAAGACTTTAAAAATGGTCCACATCAAAAAATCTTGAAAAGACACAGAGAGGGTTATGTTCTTCAGTACCCTAAGGACAATAAAACTGAAATGTGGTTGTGTTACAGTTAGATTCACCTGTGAATACAGAAGGGAGAGGAGGAACTATCTTGCCACTGTTTGCAGCACTATAAAAATATACTTTAAAAAAATTAATGCTAATGTTAAGATACATATTTTTTGCTTTTTTTTAAAAGCTATTTTAGAAAACTTCATGCTCCAGTTCCTCTAGTTGGTACCTTTTATGAGTTTTTTTTTTTTTTTTAAACTTAGGTTATTCTGAGGGAAAGCTTACTTGGAGCCTCTATTGCCACAGCAGGAAATCTGAAAATAGAAACCTCTATCCTTCTTTCCTCCTGGCTGAAAGTTAGCTAAAGAAGGTTTTCCAAAACAGTATTCATTAATTCAAAGTTCTTAGTACAACTGGAAGAGTTAGTGTTACTTTTTCAATCCAGCTCCTGGTAAGGAGTTTTTCATTTTTTCCTACTTGTCCTTTTCCATTGAAGAGGGCCTGTTTGTCATTTACTTCAACTAATGGTTTAACTCTTCAGAGTTTACTGTCTTACTAAGTATTCAGCACAGATTGAAATGTAATTTTTAAGAATTTAATTTTTATTAAGGAGTCAGCAAGATACTTCAGGAAAGGGTCTTAACAAGTAACTTAGACTTTGTAGGCTGTTAGTTTCTGTCATAACTACTTAATTGTTGTCATGCTGAAACAGCAATAGACAACATGTGAATGAATGTACCTATTTTTTTTAAATTAGAATATAACTGCATGTGTTAGTTTCTTCATTTTATTAAAACTTTGTTTAAAAAAATTGTCAGTGGGCTTAATGTGGCCCATCATATGGTTTTTCCAGCCCTTGCTTTCTCTCATAGATGTGTTCTTAGATTGAGATTTTTATCCAAAATAGAAGTTTAAGAGGGTTTTTTGTGATGCACACCAACTATATAAAAGGTTCAAAGTATTGAAACTAAAATGTATGTAGATATGGTTACCACCATAGATGTATTTGTTCAAAAATGTAGTGAAGGTGATGAAAATATTTAGTAGATAGGTCTTTTGTGTGCAAACAGTAATGCAATTTATGGAGGGATCAAAAATCAAACAATTGGTATGAGAATTTATGTTCAGGTTAAGTGAGAAATAGATACTAGTTCTTTTAGTGGTTTGAAATCCCTAGTGAGAAAAAGTAATGGAAATTGTTTAAGATGGGGGGAAATGGAGGTTAGCTGGGAACACAATATAGTATAAATTCTGTGCAGCTCACTTACGATTTTTTTTTTGGTAAGTGATTCCTTTTCACCTTTGACATCTGCTTACTGAGGATTTGTCCCATTTGTGCTGAGGTATTGGCTCTGTTCCTTGCCACAGCCTTTGTTATGAACCTTGTTTTGAGCAAAGTGCCTTGGGGATCTCATCTGGTGAAGCTTATTGAGGGATGTTAGTTAAGAGTGTGGTATTTGCAGAAGAATTTCCCTATAGTGGAGAACTGAAATAGAGGATCAGCTTGGTTGATTTTGGTGTTCATTGCTTTTAAGTATGTTCCCTTTAATAACTGGAAAATTAAGAAGTAGTCAATATCTTAGAGGAGGTATTTGATAAAGTCTTTGAATTATTTTTTGATTATTTCTCTGTCTAAAATGGTTTCTGTTAATAAATGACTCTAGTTTAAAAATCTTTTTTCTTTAAAAAGTGAATATCATAAATTATGATAATGTAAATTTGAATAGGACTTCCCAGGTGGCTCAGTGATAAAGAATTTGCCTGCAGTGCAGGAGACATGGGTCTGGAAGCTTCCCTGGAGGAGATGGCAACCCACTGCAGTATTCCTACCTGGGAAATCATGAGCCTAGGGGACTGCAGTCCACGGGATCACATAAGAATTGGACACGAGTTAGCGACTAAACAACAAACCTGAATAATGTAGGAAGAATGTTAATGTATTTCAGTTTTGAAATCATGATTTTAGTCAATGCCAAGAATGTACTTATTTAAAAATGCTAATTGCCAGTAGAGACATTTTTAATATGTTAAAAGAATTCTTCCCTAATACTTTAGAGTCCTTCAACCAAAAATAAAGGTTATATTCAGGTTGCAGCTCAAATTGCCTCTTTCAGTTAAGAAATGTAGGTGCCTGCTGTATCAATTATTTCATGTTACTAATATTGTTACTGTAGGAGAGCAAAATGAAAACTTGGAGAGAGTTTTGCAAATGACTATTTCAATATTTTGAAAATCCAAAAGAATACATTGAGAAATAGTTAGCTTTGTGAACACTCAACAGTAGTCATTTGGAAGGAAATAAAGGAAGAACCATTTATAATAGCCACAAAATAAAAATTGTGTGAATCTGCCAAAAGGAGAGATACAGTGTTTCTGGGTGTAAGATTAAATGTACCACTCCTTGGTAGGTCTCATTTCCCACATCTGTGCCCTGCAGATGTCTTATATCAAAATAGGTGATGGTGGCTGGCTAGTGGTGCTCATTGTGGCACTCGCAATTCCTGCAATATAAGGGACAGGACAGGACAGCTAAAGAAGTGTGTAGCCCCACTTTACCCCACAGCTTGCAACAGATCTACCTGCTCTTGTTAGATTGGCAGTCATGTGACAATTTACATCTCTCCCAGGTTTCTGGGGCAGAAGAG